AAAAAAAAAGATAAGCAAAGGGCCTGCATAGTTTTGGCAACCAATATAACTTCATGTTCTTACCCAAGCCTTCCCTATGGTGGGAACACCTGGTAGCAAATGCTTTCCCCTACCTGCTCATGATCCAAACTAACACCTCCACACTGCACGATGATTTTGCAGAAACTCTCACCTCAATATTTTTCAGGAACAGCAGTGAGTTAGGGCAAGGGATTCACACAGTCCTTAAACGTTTCAAATTCCCTCTTTCTACCACCTCTAATGGAAAGTTGCTATTGCTTATAGCAGATCTGCACCTACCTGGAGGACTCAGGTAGGAAAGCACCCCCAAAGCTAGAGGAATACACCTCTTCATCCTTGGCGAGCACAGTACGTCCCCAAAACCAGTCTGATGCAGCTTTCAGCTGAACAGTCCCTGGATTGGAACAAAATGTCTTGAAACTGCATGCCAGACAGCTCAGACAACAGTAGTCCCTTTTCCAGCATGGAAGAGGTTAATAAGAAGATCCAGATAGTCTTTAAATGAACCACGCTCCACATGCACATAAGTATTTTCAACACATCGAGCCATAAAACTCATTCAGACCAGCAGAAGTCTGGGGATCTGAACTGCAACATAAGAAAAGGACACTGCCAGAGAAACACATCCATCTCCCACTTGCCTCCCAACTTAGAACACCAGCAAGCTTGATTCTAGCACACCTATGGTGTTTGAGAATTTCCAGTCAATAAATTCTGACAGCTTGGACTCATCATGGGCTTCTGCTCTGCCTCAAGCACCTTAACATCTCTGGAGCCTTCATCTGCAGAGTCAACTTCCTCCTTCACAGCACTCTCCAAGATGCTGAGAGCACCATGAAGAAGGGTGCAGATGGAAAATGCACCTACCTCTGAGGTTTGTTCTTGAAACTCAGCCCTAATTCAGTGTTGTTACTTAGATTCTCCTGTGAGCTCAGATGCACAGCAGTACAGCCTCCATAGAATGTTTCACAGACTACCTCAGCTCAGCTAGACAGCAGCACTGTTTGTCCTTCTGTCACCCTATTGTTCACTCAGTTCACATGCATGCTGCTGGCTATTAACCCCCCCAAAAATGCTCCCAGGGCACAAAGAACAGTTCATTCTTCTTCATACCTCTCTTCTCATTCCCACACGCTCAGAACACTCCTTTTAACCCTAGCAACTACAATTCATTATTTTCATCAGTATTAACTGAAACAAGAGATGAGCCCAGGCGACCAGCTTCCCTCTGCAGACACTGCTATCGCCACCTATGCTGTTGCATTACGACAAGACCTGGGCAACCATGCTGCTTGAAAAAGCTCAGGAAGACCATCTTTGTTGTCAACCCCCAAACTCTTTCTGTATACGTACAATACAGCAGTCAAATCAACACTTTCATCCCTCAACGCCATTCCCCTAATTGGCAGACAAGTGCTTTCAGTCATTGAAAAGGAAGAGGTGCCAGTCAGGCCTGTCTTCTGGGTCATAGTCACATCTAGAACATGGAGGATCAGGAAGGTTCAGTGTTTATACATTTATGAACAAAACTGTTCTACATTGTTCTCAGGTAGCAACAGAAAACAGTCTTTTCAACAGGGTTTGGACTGCCAACTTAGTTCCACAATAGGTTTTGGAAATCCTAAGGAAGAGAGGAAAGCCATGGCAGATAGCCAAGGACAGATTTCCAACGGACATCCTAACAGCTGTGGTATCAGGGAGTTTGGAAGGAAAGGAATGAGGCGTTGTGTGAGCAGGGTAGCCCTGCCTTAGGCATTGATAGCTTTCCAGCGGTCACTGTCTGTACTGTTGATGCTGCCCACGTGATACGGCATAGAGGCCACGTCATCCAGGTAGGCTGTGGTATCAATCTGAGTGCTCGAGTAGAACCCAGAATCCATTCCTTCCTTCTTGGCAACAGCATAAGGGTGGGGTAGGTGCACATCCACATCCTCAGGTTCATCCACCTGACATTTGTAGGAGAAAAGGATCTTCGGTTCAGACCTGGAGTGATTAAAAATACATGTTTAAACAATGTGGTATCACAGCCAGTTATCCTTAACTGAAACTCACCTACACTAAGAAATTGTGTGTTCAGACCCTAAGAACTCTCCACACTAGCTTTCAGTCCTGAAATATACTTAGCAGAGTAATTGCAATGAAGTAATGCTACATGGAGCTTTGGACTAAGTCAGTTAAGAGAATCTGATTCTGTCACCTGACAGAATCCCAACTCCAGTGTGGGAAAGGTGTTCTCATCTCTGGGAGCTCTGAGTTACTGAGGGCAACAGCATCCAGTGGACTCCACAGCAGCCTGGTTCCTGACACGAACTGAACAAAAGTCCACCTCAAGTTCCATCTGTGCACACCAGGAAACCCAAAATACAAACACCTGGGGATGAGCAGTTTCCATCTCTAACTCCAGACACTGTTCCTTTGATTTCAGAAGGTGACAGAGGCACATTTTGATATTTTAAGAGTACTTTATGTTCTTAGTTATTTTAAAGCCTGATGTTTCTTGCTTACGGATGATAAAAGCAAAGACCTATGCTAAAACACTCGGTTTTTTCTACCAAGATGCATCTCCTCTGAATGGCCACACGGCGGCAACCCCGACCCAGGAATCCCACTTCCGAGTGCTTTAAACTGGTGACTCTTGGGCCCATTGCAGAGCAGTCCTCAGCCAAAGGGTTACCTAATCCCTAGGTTCTTTCTACAAACCTATCCCAAAACCCACCCAGGAGACCACTTAATCTTCCGGGACTCAATCTCTCACTAACGATTTAGTCACCAACTTCAGCAGCAAAACTTTGCACTAAACAGGATGCAGACACTGAAGAAGTGATCCCCAATAAATGTTTGGGAGGAACATTACTATCAGCTCTACTTTGAATACAAAGGAGTCTGGGATAGAAGCAAGCAGCCCTGGGTCACACAAGAAAAACTGCAAGGCCGGAAACTAAAAACAGGTTCCCTAACTGGCATTCTAGTCCCTGCCTTTATTCTACAGATGGAGAGAGCTTGGGTGCGGAACAATTAAATGACCATAAAAGCCTCTAAACTCCTGTTCCTGGCTACTCACCCAAAGAAGCCTTTAAGGAATGCCACATAGATGAGAGGTGCAAAGAAGATGAAGTAAAGGAACGTGGTAGCATCAACACAGCTGTCAACGGCAAAAGGAAACATGAAGGAATTTAGCACTCAAGCACAATACAGCTGGATAACACCTGCCACATCCCCCCAGAATGATCCCATTTCCCTCCAGAGTGCCCAAGCGGAGCACAAGAAAAGTCTTGTGCTAACAAATTCAAACTGATGCAAAGTAACAGACATTGCCATCAACATGTGTCACTGCTCCTAGACGCTCATGAGGAAACCGTGCCAAGACCCAAGGTCTGACCAAGAGCACAGTCTTAGCGCTCCCAATTTTGACTCACAGAAGTGACACTGATCCCTGCAGAATGAGACTCTGTATATGAATAAGGTATCTCCATGCCATTTCTAGCAAACAGACTACTTTCCCCCCCTTATTACCTATGACACACGAGCCAATGGCCAGGCATTTGGATTCAAACTATTACTCAACACTTCAAGACCACTGCAGAGCATGCAGCTCCATAGACCTCTCCACTGTGAGTTTCCTGACCACACAGAGGACTTTTGGCACAAAACAGAACCAACAACTTTATTCCTTCTTTAGAACACAGCACAAGTTTGTTTTCTTGGGACAGACAGTGTTGAAAGACACTCAAATGCAACATAAGAAACGGGGCTGCAGACCCCGTCCTCCAGCATACATACCACAGTCCTTCAATGATATCCACACAGAGGAGGGCACTGCCCAGGCCCTGCACCAGGGTCAGCAGTGCCAGGATTCCAGCATAAACATAAAAACTCTTCCTGGCTGTAGGAAAGACATGGACACAGGTGAAGCTCAATCTCACAAGCACCAGCCCAGTGCAAATCTGTTTGATGGAGATGGCAAATCTAACAGAAGCATCTCACCATCTTGTCTGTTTAGGAACTCATGAAGAATTAAGACTGCATTTTTCTGTCCTATGTGGGCAGAAGAATTAAGACTGCATTTTTCTGTCCCATGTGGACTGATGGAGGTACAGCAAACTAAACCATACACCCCTGCATGTGTATACACATACAAGACAGGTTTACACCCCTGCATGTGTATACACATACACATACAAGACAGGTCTTGAAAACACATAGTCAGGGTGACACATGCACAGATTTTCTTGGCAAGCATCTGGAACCAGTGTCAGTCACATAATTGAACATAAGAAAAACAAACAAAAAACCCACAGCTGAACCAGGAGCAGTGCCCTTCTCATGTACAGCACTAATAAAACTGGTCAGGAGACCCAAACAGGAGTAGCAGGGTATGCTGGACACTAGGCAGATCAGGCCCAGGACCACCTGCTTGTGGCATTTACCACACATATCCACTCCCTCAGGGTACCCACACATAGAAGCCAACACTACTTAAGAGAGAGAACAGCCCAAGCAAACAGCTTAGTACACAGCTGCTCTCCCAAATCAAGAACTGCAGATATTCCGCAACAAAAAGAAAAACCAGAGAAGCATCTTAATAAAGTAAATGCCCAGATAAAAATTATTAACCAGCTCCCAATTAGCCTTTCTTTCCCAGGGGATGACCAGCATGTACACTTTAACATCATAAAGAAGCTATTATTAAGAAGCCATTTCTTACGGCTCTCTGAGGATTATATATTTACATTGCATCTGTATAATTAACTGAGCAGTAAATCTTGTTTTCTTAATGTAATTGTTTAGCTACTGAAGTAGCAATGTAATTGCTCTTACTCTGCTCTGCAAAAGGCACAACATACTATTTTTCCAGGGATAACTTATCGATCGTTTGCCATGTATCTGTGCCCTGAGACAGTGGGATGTACCTGCAGCGCAACCAGATACAGGAACCCCTTACTCCCACCTACGTTTTATCATGGTGCTGCCTCCATCTATACTATGGAACACACTACAGTCACTTACAGGGCAAAGAAATCCGGTCTTTCAGAGGAGTTTTTGGAAGAATCACCACCAAGGAATAGACCTGTTGAGACAAAGAATTAACTGTTCCATAGCTGCTGGAAAACTGAACTCAACAATCTTCACAAGGATGGTGTGTGGTGTCACGTGCTCCCTAGATGTCTTGGGACAGAGGCACAGACCCCCTGATATTAAACCCTGTGCAGATGGTGCAGATGTGAAGGCTCCACACCTCACCCCCATCAGCACACAAAGGCTGGTCACTGAGAAACAATGGAGTGAAGAAAACCTGAGTTCAGCTGGAATTCAGCTGCCACAGCTCACACTCACCTCCCCTGCCACAGGAAAAGCATCAGTGCCGCACTGTATCAGGCAGGAGGGGGACTAGGGCTTTATTATACACAAATTATCCTCCTGACCCCATTTAGAAAATACAAAGAAGAAATTAGAGTGCGTAACACATGCCCAGTGCTTACCAGAAAGAAGAAACAGGAGCTGGCAAGCCAAAAGTGTCTCCCTCCATGGCCATAGATGTTGAAGTCTTCTGCTGAAAGGTGGGCATCAGGGTACAGGATTTCCAGGGTACCCTAGGAGAGAAGTGGCACCAATGTGATTCTGTTATAGGCAGCATCATCACTAGAGTGAGTGTCTGGACAAAGGAGACTGTGTTGAAAGAAGTTCAGACAAGAGCTGTCCCTGCCACCTAAGAACTAACTATTGCTCTGCTTAGACCAAATTAAGCTCACACAGGAGATGAAGAAGAAACTGAAAACAAGAAGTAGGGAAAAAAGTGGCAGTAATCTGCATCTGAAGGAAGCCAGCATTGACAACATTCCAGGAGAGTGACTTAATGAAAGGATAGAGGATGCAAGTCTTTTTCTGTTTGAAATAGACAGAGTTCCATTTCCAGCGCTAAAGTATACCTTTCCTGCTGAAACATGCAGAAATGTAGGCTTTTGTATTTTGTAAGAGGTGGGAAAGGACATTGTCTCATTTACTTGAATTCCTGAAAAATGATATGAACAGAAGCTACCATACAGACAGCAGAGAGAAAAAAGTGCTTGTAAGCACCACTGAACCCAGATACAGCTCAAACACTTGGTATTTAAGGAGGCTCCTCCAGCATTATCATGTGGTAATGATCAGCTCACTGCCTCCGCAAGCAAGACACTGGTCACAGAACAAAGATCTGTGTGTTATTCTGGTGCTGCCCCAAGTATAGAGACACAGGGCTGACCACTTACATACCGAGGAGGATAAACCCAGACACATACTGCATTGTTCAGAGAGAAGGAGACACAGCTAATAAACTGAGCTAGCAAGCCAGCTGCTAGTTTGAACAGAAGCAGGAGCTCTCAGCTCTCAAAGACTCAGGAGACAAGAGGCCCAGTGCGCTGCTCTTATCTGGCAAGCACACCTCACATCTTTATCTAGTATTGATGGCACTTGTGGCTCAGGTGTGGAAAAACTCTCACCCATGTCCCAAGATTCACTAAACAAGGCAATCCATCTAAACCTCAGCTCATGTCTTGACCTTCTGCCACAACGAAGATGGGGAGATATAGTCTGGTGTATGCTCTGGGATCCTGGTATGTTGCCACAAGCATCCAGTATTCCCCCCAAATCTCATCCAGAGAGCAAAGCTGCCACTTTGCAGACAGCAGTCCCACATTTAACTGCCTAACTCCAAGCAAAGTCCCCTCTTCTGCAAAGACTAATTCTTCTGCTCCAAAATACTCACCTGGGTGACAGAATATGCCAGAGACAGCACCGTAGTGATTCCCAGAACACGTTTCACACTCGACTTGCTCTCCAGGTGACCTGGGATTAAGAAATACAGAAGTGACTTAGGATGTGATCACAGCCCTGGTAAAAATCAGTTGTCTCAAACATCAATACAGGAAAACATTTGTATTTCCAGAGGCCTTCAAGGGAAGGTTAAAGCTCACTCAACCACTAGAAACTGCTTCCCTGTTTGGAGAGTTGAGCCTTTCACAGACAAAATAATACTTACAAAACAACAGGTTTTAACTTGCTTTCCTTCTGCCCACACTAATATACAGAAGGTAACTAAGTCCTTCCACTATGGTTCAAAAAAAAAAAAAAAAAAAAAGAAAAAAGTCAGGAATTACTCCAGTATCATGTACACTGAGATGTTGTAAAGTTTCTTCCAACCTCAATTATTCCATGAGCCCTCAAAAGATGAAACAAGTAGTGCTCAGATGTCCCACTGGCAGATGCAACAGTGACACCTACCAATTTCCCTTTCCTCTACCTCTGACCCACAGGAAGAGGTGCTCCAAACAGCATTTTCGCTCACACAAGTGAAAAAAAAACGTAGAGTTACAGGTACAGTTAAAGCTGCTGAATGAAGCCAGGATGGAATCAAACCAACCAAGGAGGGGACAGAAGGACCCCCAACAGAACCATTTTAAATAAAATGGGGTTGAAGCAAAGATCAGACAGTTGATCTTTGCGTAAGTCGTCTTTACCTAAACTGTACACTCCTTCACCACATGCATGCAGGACAAACAAAGCACATACAAATCCTGAAATTGCCCAAGCCATAGATCTGTAAATATAATCAGTTTTTCAGCCATTTCTAACTAAAACTGCCCAATTTGTCCTTTGTCTATATTCTAGAGCTCCTTCACTTTATAGAATCAGCATTTCCACAAACTTACAAATGCAGCTTCTGTGGAATGAAAGGGAATAGGAGACATTCAAAGCACTCAAACCCCTCCTGACACGTACCAAAGGCAAGGCCAAGAATCACCACACTCAGCTCAATCGCCAGAAGGAAGAACCTTGTGATCTCCCACAGGATCTGAGGGATAACAGAAACCAGACAAACATGGTTAGCTGGAGCCAGGAACCAGTCGGAAGTTAATACAGCGAAACTCCACACTCTGCTCCAGGGGATGACAGCCTCTGAATGAAGCAGGTCATTTCCACAAACCTTCCTCATGTTTTGTAGGGGTGTTAATTATATGTTCGTTCCAAGCCCTGTCCATGCCTGTGAAATAGAACAGTTGTGTGGGAGCAAGCAAATAGCATGTCTATGGAGAGAGGAAGTGGCCACAGTCTGCCACACTTGAGGATCTGCCACTTGCCTTGGATGTGTTTTCTCTGCTATACGCACAAGGAGCACAAACCCATGAATCTTAAAAGTATAATATTAAACAGGGCCAGTTCTTAAAGCAGTAGATTCTGCAGTACAGTTATGACTGAATAAACTCAGTATTCTACACTCTTCCAAAGCTACTAGTCCTGAAATCTAAAGTATATTCAATTCTAAAGCCCTCCCACTTCCAGCTTATCATTTTCATTCCCATGCTTTATTTGGGAAAATAAGACCAAAAAACCAGAAGGTGAGGCAGCTTTCCACGTAGTCACACCACAAATCAGTGCCAAACCTAGAACAAGACCCCAGATTCTCACTTATTAATCCTTTTCCTCTAAACATTGAATGGCACTCTCTCGAAGATACACATATTTTAAGAGGCATTTGGTGAGACACTTCAATCTCAGAAAATACACAATGTGTGTGTATATATGTGAGAGAAAACAATAGAAACAGAATAGACATAAAACGTGTTTACAGGAAAAATTGGCAAAGTATCTGTCTTAGAGCATGACTCCTCAACAAAGTGCACTTAGCAGCAACACCAACAGAGCTGAAGAAAAGCACCTTCTCACATGTTCTCAACAGAGGTGAATTAAAATGCTACAAACATGCAGCCACTCAGAACAAGCCATACACTGCAATGCTTTGACAGGTAACATTAAAGGGAAAAGCGAAAGAACAACACCAACCCCAGAGAATAAAGCCAGAAGACCTGTACTCTGTGTGTGGCTCTTCTTTTTCTAACAGCTCAGTAACTACAGAGCTTTTTGTTTTAGGTAATATTCTGCTACAGGTCAAATGGCTACAAAGGAACAGCACGTACAAAGCTGTTTCCTGTTTGCTGAGGGTTCACCCTGTGCTCAGAGTGTCTGCAAGGACGTTCAGGTACCAGTCTCAAAAACAAATTCGCTTTTATTTGCTTTCAACACAGAAGAATTAAATATTTTTTGAAGAACCACCCAAATATTGCAAGAGTAGCAAAGGCCAGGTCTTGCCTATCCACTAAAGGAATCTGAATGTTTAGCTTTGGCAACGCAGAGTCATCCCATCTCTGCAACAGGAAAGTTTTGCCACCACTATTTGTGCATCTATTTTAGGAAGTCCATTGTTTTACAGCCCTGGATGTTGTGATCATTTAGATACAGATATCAGAACAGGATTCCATCGTACACATAGCTATGAGTACTGGAAGGAAACACATTCTTCTTGTATGTGCATAAAAGGAAAGCCTTAGCAGATTGCTGTGACCAGAACTGCACAAAGCAGAGCCCCTAAAATCAGCGTTGTACCTACCTTATCAGCAACTGTGGCAGCATCAGAGGCACTCACAGTCATGGAGACAACAGCACGGGCAATACCAACTAAAGCCACCACAAATACCTACACAAAAAGATACCAAAAGTGAGCTCGTGTCAGAAGGCACATATACACCAGTGACCAGAAACCCTTTTGGAATACCATTTCCAGGTCAGCTTTCAAGCCTGATAATACGTACTAAGGATTTCCTGTAGCTTATTAGAGTTAATTTCCCAAAGAAGATTCCTCAGGCTTAGAATTTAGGAAGGAATAAATTTCCTCAACTGTCAGATTAAACAGCTCTGAAGAGGTCTCATCCACTCCTTACAACAGTACTTTTACAGGCAGTCTTCCCACTCTTCAGTCCGCTGGGGCAGGGGAGGAAAAAACACAGACAAAAAACATATCCCTCCAAATTACAAGACCCAGTGCTTGGTACAACTGAATAAACAAATCGTATCAGACAACAGAAACCACTCCGTACCAACTACCACACTTCAGATCTGTGATAAAACTAAAATCTGCAGTTCTCTCATTTAACACTGAGAATGCCCAGGAATGCAAAGGAAAATCTCAGCTGCAGCCAACAGCTTTAAAACATCTTATTTTACTGCACAGTGCAACACAGAGATACCCAAGTCAGCTCATGTACCATTTAAGCATGACAGCATGGAGCTCACCAAGGCTAATTTACCAACTCCTGTGCTGTCACAGCCATACTATGCAATTAAGAGCTCAGTTGGATATATCTACCCTCTGCTGTGCTGACTTACCCTCTAAAAAAGTAATTTTTCCAGATAAAATTCTCCAAGTCACAGGCTAATTCCAACAATGCAGGTATGAGACAGCTAAATCTATCAGAGAACAAAGAGTCCAAGCTGCTTTCAAGGTGGCTGAAGAACAGAAATGACCAATAAGCCACCTACAGTTGAATATTTCCTCCTTAGAGGAAGATGGGATGCAAATGCCATGAAAGAAGAATAATACAACGCTCCTTCTGGGGTGGAAAACCCTGGGACAAAACACTGACAAAAAAGAAGTGCCCCCAAATATATGGTGTTCTGAAGCAGCAACAACTCATTGGAGAGGAAAACACACCCTTTTTGCTTCCTCTCTGAGTAGGTAGGCACTCTTCCCAATCTACTAACTTTGATTTAATCATTGACTCCTCAAGAAAGCATTCCTTCAAGGCATGACAAACAGCCATTTAAAAGGAAATCCTCACAGAACACACATCCTCATTTCCCAATAACATATTCCAGAAGATCAAACTGAATTAAAGTGTTTTCCTCTAAGGCTGTTTCATCAGTTTCTGCTTCTCGCTCTGTTTTGAAAAAGTCAACAACATATGGTCAGTTCACTTTTTTCTTCCCTTCGGTTTCTCAGGAGTTTTGCTTTTCAAAGCCTTTGGCACAAACTTCCAAGGATTCTGTGCATTAACGGAAGCATAAAGGAAGATTTAAATCCAGACTGAAAATGGTTGGTAATATTTTTAAAAGTTTGAAGCATTCGTGTGTATACCTGGTTATCCAAAACTGTGCACAAGCCCAGTGCCCAGGCCTAAAAAAGCTAACAAGACTTTCCACTAAAGATTCAGTTGAGGCTACTAGCTCAGATTTGGTTTTGATGCTTCTTGGGTTTTGCCATGCCAGTACCTGTACACAGCCCAAAGAAGAGCGCCTCCCACCTAAACCAACTCAAACACATATTTACTTCTACAACCTCTACTAATCTCACTGAGTAAGAGCCAAGATCTCAAAAAGCACCTATGATAAATCTTCTCAATGACATTTTTAAACAAATCCAGGTATGTCCTCAGCTGCATTTATCATGCCCTGTGAGCAGTATCACAGTTAATAGGTATGAAGTTTGGAGATTACTACAGGGAACAGCTTAATAGGATCAAAAGTTGCCCGTGCCTTTTTAAACTGAGGAGAGGAGACAGGTCTTACACATTTGAGAGTTGTAACTGTACTGCCTATATATTCTGTTTCCACCTTAAGAAGTAACAAGAACATCATCAAGTCAGCAGTCACTTTGATACGATGCGAAAGAAACTAAGAGCTGGGTGCCTACGTTCCCAGACTAACCAGAACCTTGTCACATCACTCTTTTCTATAGCAGATGACCGAGCTTTCCAACAGCTTCACGTATTCGCCAGTGTTTCACTTTCACTACCTCAGTGAGAAGCTGGTTTTGTGTCACATGTGACTGCAAGAAACAAGAAAGTGCAAGATGCTAAGTTCCATGACAGAAAAGCAACAAAAGAAGGGGGAAATAAAAAAAGAATAAAATCACCACAGGAGAACAAAATCCACCCAAACCCAGCAGATACGGTCCCAGAATCTGTGAAAAGCAGAATTCAGACAGTGAAAAAAAAATAATAAACATCCGTGTCTCCTTCTTGTAGTATACCTTCAACTAAAAACAGACTTCATCCCTGTGAGATCTGGTCTATGCTCTCTCTCCACTCGTTCTGTGATATTGTTCATGAGTGGTAATAAAAAACCCTAACTCATCAGTTCAAAAGCACAGAGCGGTACTCACTAGTATGTAGAATGTAGTGAAGATTGGGCTGGAAGTGACCCGGATTTTGGCCCTGGCAGAGGGCAGCTTCCAGAGAAGAAACATAAAGAAAAGCACATTGGGAACCAGGAGCAGAAGATCCCAGTAGCGGACTCTGCAAAAAGTAAATAAAACATTTTTTTTTTTTTCCTGTTCTTCAGCATCGAGAAGGCAAGGTACCAGCCCCGGTCCCTGCTCAACCAAACTCTGAGAAAGCAAGCTCTTTCCCCTGGCCCAGGGCCAGACCATGGTCCCATTTCCTCCATCTCACCTGGACTTCCCAATGTCCTCATAGAGCAACAACAGGCACTTGTGCGGCACAGTGATGTTGGTGTCATTGATTGCCTGCGTTGTTGTCGGGGTCAAAGTTGTCACATTATCTAGTGCTGTCACCAGGGCAGTCGAATGTGTGATGTTGCCAGACCCGGAGAATCTCATCACAGACATCATGGACTGGAATACCCTGACTTCCTTCTGGTCCAGGTCAAACACAGTGCAAGACAACCACAGCAGAGACAAAAAGCAACATTAAATCAGTTGTGAGTCAGAGCTAAAACACACATCCCTGCCATTAGGCTCCTACATAACTGCTTCCTGCTTGTTACAGCAAATTATCATAATCAGAAAGACTGTATTACACAATGAAATGCCACCTGCCCTCACTCTGCACGCAGCCATTAGGGTGGACAGTACAAAAACACTATCTTGTATCAAAGTAACAAGCACCTTCAAAATACCGTAATATTATGCTGGATTAAATTTTGTGATTTTTTGAGCTTTGGCAGATTCATAGAATAAATCAAGACTCAGCAGCAATACATGGCATTATCGGATGGAGACAGAAACTTCACTGTACCAGCACATTAATTATCATTCTAGCTCCTAAGATCAAGAAGTTATAGCCAATGATTTGATTTAAACTATTGCAAAGAAAAAAAAAAAAAAAAAATGAAGTCCCCTACCTAAAACCCATTGTTGCTACCAACCCCACAGTCTGAGAGCAGGAGAGCCTCACATACTTTTACTTAAAGGGACTGTACGGACTCTTTCTCATCCAAAACCAACCCTGGCAAAAGCCAAGATACGGCATTTTTCTTCTAGCCCTCTGCAAGACCCCAGAACTATTCTGATTTTAAGCAGAAGAGTAAGGCTGTGAGAAGACAGCACCTTTTTTAAACCCTGTTAGCATAAAGGTCTCCAGCTTCTTTACACCCACCAGTCTCAATTGCATTGCATTTCTCAGACACAGATCAGCATCATCACCGCTAGTTCACAAACCCAGAACCAGACGCAGTCCTACCTAACAGGTTTCCTAAGGTCAAACCCCTGGGCAGCAGAGAGCTATGGTCAGAATCAGAAGAGTCATGGCACCCGGTTCTTTTGCCTACCCTACACCTCACACCTCTCCTGCCCCTTGGAAAGACAACAAGACAGAACTTCCTATTCCCCTGATGAAACTTTTTGGAGCTGCCTTCCCTGAGAGAACATTCACATCTTTTCTGCCACCTGTCCATTCCCCAGGCCCTACACTGCTGTGATATCAACTGTCCCTCCAGAAATGAAAGGGAAACTCTGCTCTACCATCCATAAAACTCCACATGCTTCATGCCTGTACTGGTGGGTTTGGCAGAAACAACAGCAGCAGCAGTTTATCCCTTGGAGGCTAAAGTGGACAATGGCACACAGTACTTCAGAGCAGCATTTAGTATATAGTAGAGTTTTGACCTGATTTACCTTACTAAGCCTGCTCCTGATTCTTGTGCAAATCCTCTCCTCTTCCCACCCTAAAACAGCAACCCTCACCTTAAAGCACTTGACCAGCTACGACCTGAATGCAAACACAAGGGTCCTATCATCTCTCCTGCCACTCCGCAAAGACACAGTCACGGACAACACACAGATTAAAGAAAAATAATATCTATTAACTGACATCTTAAAGATATACATTGCCAGAGGCAGTGCTCTAGCAGTATGTGTGCTATCCAGGATTTGTCTCAAAAAAGAAAAATCTCCCTGTTTGACTTTAGCCCTGGCTGCATGACAAAAAACTGACAGCCTTCACGACAGGACTCAGAAGGTAATTTTCCCTGTGAGGTTCTGGGTGACTCACAAGTCGGAAAGAATCAACACAGCCCTGTGTAATCTGTTGAGCTTTCAAAGTTCAGTAGTGCATTCCCCAACAACTGCTCGAGACCATCAGCCACAGACTCTGCTTCAGAGGCCGAGACCCCTCCCAGGTCTTCTGAGGGGTAAGGGGATCATCCCACCCTCAGCTAACAAATCCTCCCTTTGATTCACCCATGCTGACAGATGCTTGCTGAGCTGGGATTTTTCTTTTGCGACTGCTGTATGCTGTGCTACACAAGAGACGACACATTAAACAAACACGTGCAGACCTGGAAAGATCAACTTCGTACTGAGATGGCAAAATCTGCGCCAAAAATCCTAGTTCTAGTAGAGGTTCCGGCAAACAACCTTAATACGCCAGACTTATCTCTCTCTTCCCTCCAACTTCTCACTTCTCTGAATTGACACCATCAAGAATGATTTTCTGTCAACAATTTTGCTCCATCCTCTTCCTCTGAAACACCACTGCATCTCAGCAGCAGCAAGGAAAAGTATGTTCACATTTGCCAACACAGAAAAAAGTCTATCTGATTTTTAAAGAAAGCTGGGAAAGGGTAGAGAAAACCTCACAGGATGGGCAGAATAGCATCATTAACTGCGAACTGTCACAACCTCCTAATATCTCTTCTGGGACAAAGAATCCAATCTGCCTGTCACACTGAAAAGAGCTTGAGCATAAAGCTGCGAGAGAAATACACGGGAAAAACATCTTCCTTATAAAAAGAACAAACAGGCTCCATTCTTTTTCCCTAGAAGCCACCACTATCACACAACAGCAGCGAGCTGCTGATAAGACGAGGAGTTGCCCTCATGTAACAGAGCTCCAGTCACGAGGTTTCAAAGGGCAATGCAGAATCAAGCTTACCTCTAAGCCAGGCTGCCCGCTGTGGCCTGGTATTAGTATCCTATTCTTCCTCCCAAGATGGAGTGTATACATAAAGGCAGAGCAACAGAACATCCAACATAATAAAACAAGACAGCACAATCCCCATGCTTTTCTAATAGCTAAGGGCTACAGCGAGGATCTGGAGAACTGTCCCATTCCTGTCGAAATCGCCAACAAAATTTCCACAACAACAGGACCAGGAACCGATAGCAAGGATCCAGCTAGGTTTTATCATCCCCAGCAACACTGCCCCTTACAGCACACTGTCCAAACCCTTGCCCTGTCTAGTCCAAAATAAATCCAGACAGCTGAGCATATCCAAGAGATCACTCACCACACCCTGCCTCCACGGGGATGTTCTCGCCAGCCAGCCCAACCTACGCAACGAGGGTAATATCACCCCGTAGCCACATAAAAGGAAACCAGTGCCACAGTCCTGGTTTGCCTTTTCCTTCTAACACGCAGCTCTATTCACCATACACCTGAAAACAAAATAAAACGGTTTTCTACACTACCGCTGAGTAGTGTAGGTTTTCTACACTACACTTGCTACACTCAGCCTGACTTGGCTGAGAAGTATTCCCCTGTCCAGGCACTGGACTGCCAAGCTTCATTCAGACCAAGAATATCCATACGACTCATAGGTTGCTGTGACAAGAGTGGTGGGGAAGGCTCAGCTGCACCTGCAGTGAAAACGATTGCCTCTCACCGAGGGGATGTCGTTTCCTGATTCATGGCACCATAACTGTACCAGAGCTCAGTGAAATTCGGGGCTCAAATCACTGGCAATTCTCTGTGCTCTCAAAGCCCAAGCACGTAAAGGTGAATTACACACTACCAGAGATTCAGCTCTAATAAAAAAATAAAAGGTTTTTTTCTTTCTTTCTGAAAATGGTATCTGAGAATCTTGCAAGTACAGATCACACAATGGTTAAGATTTGTCCTTAAAACGCTGTATTTGTGCAAGAGAAAACTGCACTGACCAGATTCCTGCTTAAATATGACTGTTACTTCTATAACTTAAATGCTTAAAAGAGCCTTTTTTTCCTCTTCCTTTTCAAGATGGCTCTTCAAATCTCACTCTTGGTCACAACAGTTGTATTTTGCATTTTATCCTTAGAACAAACTCACAAGACAAGGACTGTCATAGCCAGTGACTGAGGACTGTTTTCTCTCTTTCCTCCAAGTTTCACTTTCACATCTTGTTCTGAACTAAACTTAAAAAGAAAGGAACTGTAACACTAAAAACAACCAAAGAAAAATACCAAAAGCAGAAGTATCAACAATAATCTACACCCATCAGACAGAGAATCCCAGTTCAGGGATGTCTTTCGGAAATAAGTATCCTCACTTTTTTGTCGTTCGGTTTTCGGGTTTTTCCCCTCTAGAAGGTGGCTGCACAAACAAGCAAGAAGGCGGTGAGTGAAGCAAAGTAACAGTACACGGTCACTTCACTCTACGCTGGCCAAGGCAGCACTGCCTATTTTAAAGGCTCCTAAAGCAACCAGAGAGCTGGAGAAAAATCTTAAGTTACTTTCTGCCCTTCACGCCAGGCAGAGGCGCCTCTGGAAGGTCCCAGGCTGCAGAAGGAGGCACAGAGCTGCCTCCCAGGGACGCGCTGGAGTGTTTGCGAAGGGCAGAAACCCAGAGAGCAGAGAGGTCCGCCCGGGCAACCGGTAGCCTGCGGGCCGGCACCGGCTGTACCCGAAGACCCGCAGCGGCCCCGGGCAGGGTACGAAGCCTTTTTTTTTCCTGACGGACTCCCTGCAGGCAAAAACCGGGCAGCGAGGCGCGGGCTGCTAACAGCCGGCAGGCACGTCCCGGCTCCCCTCTCACCCGGGGCCGCCCGCCGCAGCACCGCCCCGCCGCTCACCTCAGCGGGCCGCGGCCCCCGCCGCAGCCAGGCCGTACCGCCGGGACAGGCCCTGCCGCCCCGGGCTGAGGTGTCCCGGCGCCCCTCCCCGGGAGCCCCTCCCCGTAAGCCCCCCTGCCGGCGCAGGCCCCGCTCCTACCCGCCGCGGGCCCAGCCCGCCCGGCCCTGCCTCCCCGCCGACGGCGCTCAGACGCGGGGGCCCAGCCCCGCCATCCCAGGCCCCGGCCCCGGCCCAGCCGCTCCCCTCAGCCAGGGAGCGTCGCTAAAGACCGGCTCGAGCAGAGCACCGCGCCGCCAAAGCCAGGGCAGACGCGCCGACGCCTTTTCGGGCGGGCCCAGCGGCGCTATTGAGAGAGGATCCCCGAGAGAAGTGCCGCTTCGGCCAATCAGAGACCAAAGTGAGAGAGGTGCTGTCATAAAGGCCAAAAACAATAGCAGCGCTAGCCAATGGGAAAAGGCGGGAGGCGGGACTCCAGGGGCGGGCCTGCCGCGCGTTAAAGGTGCTCTGTCCGCGTCTACTCCCTCTCGGGGAGGGGAGCAGAGGGCGGGCGCGGCCTTGGCGGCAGCTGTCGCCGCCGGGGGTCTGAGCCCCCCGCCCGGCCCTGAAACGGGTGGGAGGAACAAAACCTCCCCCGTGAGCCCCAGTGCTGAGCCCCACTGCCCGGGGGCCGGGTCTGCCCCAGCCGCTCTCCTCCTCTGCCAGGCCCTGCCGCCATCTTGGCGCAGACTGTGGGCCAGAAGCCTGTGGTGGCCACAGGCAGGCGGTGTTGGATGCGGCCGCTGACGTGCAGGCTCTGCCAGTGTCACAGCCTGGTGGTGTCACCCATGCCAGGCCGCCCAACCCAACGTCGCACCCAACGGCCAACACTGGTGTCATCCAGCATCCGTATTGCCGCGCGCCTCCATGGCGAGGAGAATTAGGCTGCTTTGTAGAGGAATTATTGATTGCAAGGCAGGGGAGTTAATCATTTTCTTCCATGGACTGGGTCCTGTAATCAAGTCCCCGCAGGAGACAATGATTAACAAGCTGGAGAGTTTGGCTTTTAAGGGAGGTTTAAAGCTGAACGAACTAACCTAGCATAGCTTGGAGAATGGCAGCTAGAGGGAAAGGCAATAAATAATTAGCAGGATTTGGAGATGCAAATACCAGACAGAGAAAATGAGAAGTTGAGTATAGTAAACAAGGGAATAACTGGGGACAAATGAGCCAAGATTTAAAAAGGAAATGAAAGAAAATAACTGCCTAAATTTCAGCAAGTAAGTGGCAGTAAGAGCTGTCTGACTGTGAACAGAGTTTCAAGGGGGATTCTTGTTATCTGAGTCATCTCAAGGGCTGGAGGATAAACTCTGGCCTGGTGTTCTACCTGTGGTTCACCTGGGGCTCTAGGGATGGCTTCTGTAGGAATGCAAGGCTTCGGTAAGGTGAAATTCACTGTACAAGGTCTATACCTCTTTGGAAGATCTGTATATTGATCAAGTTTGGTGCCCCGCTCTAGCAAACAGCACACACAGAGGGTTTCAGGCCCACCCGCACGAACATCTTTATCAACTGAAGTCTGCTGGATCCTCTTCTCAGGTTTAATTTCCCAGCTTCGCTGCAGCAAGTCTCATTGAGGGGACGTACCCTGAGACTCTGTGGCCTGCCTCAGCCCTATTCCTCTGATTTTCCACTGGGGTGAACCAGGTTTTTATGCTGATGTCATGCATTTGGAACGACATCTGGGAAAGCCGGTCCCTAGCTTGTCTCTTCTCACACTGTCCTTCAGGTTAATGATATGTTGCAATATTTTGACACGTTCTATTTGTGGATCCAAGCTCAAAGGCTCGGCAGGCACCAGCATCTCTGCATTATAGAAGGGACGCTTCTGTTTAAAGAGAGGTGGAGTGCTTCTGCCTAAAAAGTGCCCTGGTAACAGAGCCACGAGTAAAATCCATGTCTTCTCACTTGTAGCCTCAGGTGCTAACTCATTTAATGTATTATAACTGTGTCAGAAAGAGAGATTTTTACTTTCCAATCCACCTCCTCTTTCCATCTGATTCACTCTGAGGCTAGAGCCCAGCCCTTGGGACACCAGATCCAAAAGCTGTCTCTCAGAGACAGGCAGAAGACTGCTGGGTGCCACCACAAGGACCGTGACACTTTGGATCCTGCCTTCCTCCCTACTTCCATGAGACACAGGAGGTGGGGAATCCACACTTACGTTTCCCTCGTGTTTACAAGCCATCCCTTTCAGCCTAAACATGGTGTGTGCAAATATAACCAACTGTGCTCTTCCCACCTCCAAGGGCTGCCCTCTCTCCTTAACTGCTCACATTCTCCCACTTCAGCTGAGAACCACTGCTGTGTCATCTCCCTGTCCAGTGCATAAAGATGGTGGGGCTCACCGTTTTTCCTCGCTGTGTCACTTCACTTGGTGTTGTTAGGATGAAGCAAGACAAGAGGTGATATTTAGCGGCCCTTGGTATAACCCTGAGGGCCCCAAGGAAAGCTGGCACTTGGCGCTGTACCTTCTGCGATCTGCTGTCCTTTGGCAATCTCACCTGACTTGCAGGCGCCGGAGGCGGAAGGTGCAGTCATGGTTTCCAGAACGGCATTACACCCTTGTATTGTCACCAAATTCCACTATTCTAGGACATTTTATCTCTGTAAAGTACTCTTTCAGCTTTTATTAGATCAGTCTACTGGACAGGATATTAGTTCTCATCCGAAATTGCTTTGCTGTTTAGGTGCTGAGCAACTGCAGAGACAGATGTGCCTGTCTTGTTTGAGAGCTCCTCTACCAAGCTACTGATTTGCATAAATTTGCACCACCTGGGCTGTACTCCAGTGTCTCTGCCCTTCTTTTCGTGGGAAATTCAGTCCCCAGGAGTCCTCCTGTGCTGTCAGCCACCAGTCTGCAAAATCCTAGTGGTGTGTTTTGATGCAGTCAGGAGTTTGGTGCTCAGCTGCATTCACCCCAGCGAGAGGTCCAGGTTCTGTCTGCATCTCAGCCCTCTTGCGTGCCCCAGTGCATCCCCTCTAGCACAGTAGAAGGAGCCCTGTCCCATGCGTCGTGCAGCTCTTCCCAAAGAGACTGAGCACAGCAGCTCAAGCACAGGACCACTTGAGGCTGGCACCCAGAAAGATCAGTGAAAACATGGACATGGTCCGTGGTCTTGTGGGAAGGACAGACAGAAAAGCTGTCCATCCATCCGTTTCTGTCTGTCCATCCGGCCATTCAGCGCCTGGAGAGAGAGTGGCACCCTGTGGTGAGACCAGTTCATCACAGCGTGTCACCTGGGCCTTGTGAGACAGCACCACCTTACCCAGGTCCTGGGCTGCCTTCCTTTAAGCCACCGTGGTCACTAGCAGCCTACAGGCAGGGGCATTTCTCGGGGTCCCTGTGCCTGTTTCACTCCGAGCACCAGCCAGCTCCGTCATGTGTCACAGAGACGAGGATGAGCCACTCTCCTATTTATATCCTATATCCTGTGCTCCTGCTTTGCTATATTCATACCAGGCTGAATCATCCAGCTGGGCTCCTGGAAGACCCATTTCAGATCTATGATTGTCAGCGGCCTCTTTAGTCACTTTGGCTTCTGGTGTCTCCTGTTTCAGGGTTACTGTCCCACGTCTGACTGCAGCCAAGAGCAGAAATAACCTGATACTAAGTAGTGGTCAGAAATCCTTCCGAGAACACAGATCTCCAAAATCCAAGCCACCTACCATTATGCCAGAACCTGTGGCCTGGACGGGAAGTGTTTCACCTCCTTGCCGAACATCAGCGTGTTGCTTGTTTTGCCTCTCTCAATGCCTCTTCCAGTTTCTATGGGACAGGTGCTCTTCTTCCATTCCTCTCCTAAACAGCATCGCTTGCTGCGCCAAGCAACTGCGGAGACAGATGTGTCTGTTCTTCAGAACGGCTCCAATTAGCTGTCTGTCACTGTTATTACAGACAGACTCAGGCCAAAAAGAAAAAAGAAAGAAAAAAAAAAACAAGCAGCAGAAACCCCTTCCCACCTCGTGTAGTTTTAGCATGAACCAGAATAAAGGCGATTCAAGCGGTTCTCCCATGGGTCAGTGGCAAACCCGGCCAAGCCAGATTTGGGTTTAGCTGCAGAGAGGCAGACATGAGAACAGGACATGGGAATCCGCAGCGGGATCTCTCCCATGACTCGGGTTCCCGGCAGAAGGGGAACCCTCCAACCCAGAGGGAAATGGCCAAATGTTTGCCAAAATTTGCCAGAGTTTGCCACCGCTGCCCACCCGAGCCCCCTCGGCCGTGCCCGGGGGTGGCCGTGCCCCCCGCCCGCCCCCTCATCCATATTCAGGAAGAGGGGCGGGGGCCCGCCCCCGCGCTGACCC